AGGAGGGAGGGAAGGGATTGCAATTGGGAAAGGAAGGGAGGAGGAAAAGGAACAGGGAGGGAGGGAAGTAAGGAAGGAAGGTAGGTAGGAAATGAAGGAAGGAAGGAAGGAAAAAAAATGAGGGGGGAAAGGAAGGGGAGGGAGCAAAGAAGGGAAAGAAGAGAGGAAGAAAGGAGGGAAGGTGCAAAAAAGGGAAGGAAGAATGGAAGAAAAGAGAGAGGGAGGGAAGGGGCAAAGAAGGGAAGGAAGAACGGCGGGAGGGAGAGAGAGAAGGGGAAGAAGGGAGGGAAGGAAGAAAAAAAAGCAAAGAGGTCACAAAAAGCCATCTCTTCAGCAGAACCGCAAGAATCAGCTCCTGATCTCTCCTTCAAGTGCACCCCAAGATTTAATTTGAAGCAGGGGACTGGTAAGAGAACAGTTTCAAGGCTGGCGGGAGTGCAAGAGTGCCTCTGGGCGAGTGCAAAGTGCTTTCCCTTCCTCTTTCCAAAATTTGGCCATCTCTTCCATTTGGATGCGCAAAGTTTCCATCGGGGCCTCCTCCAGATATATATATTTTTGGGGGGGTGGAGGGGGGAAGAACCACAACTCCCAGCATGCCCTAGAAGGAGAAGGGGGGGTTCGCAGGCGACCCGAGCCCGGCGTATTCTGGGAGTTGCAGTCTTCCCAAGCTTTGTAAAGTTTCTCTCCCCACCACCCCAAGCGGAGCGGGGGGGGGGGGGGCGTGCTTACCCTTCGGTGGAGGCCGTCACCAGGGCCACCTTCTCGGCCAGGGAGCGGCCGGCCGGGACGCTGCTCATCCTGGCAAAGCGACTCCAAACAGAGCAGCCGGAGAGCAGCGCTCTTTGCATGGGGCCCCCCGCGCAAAGCCTCCTTCTGGATGCCGCGCAGCTCCGCCTGCAATGCGCCGATCTGACTGCAACCCGAAATCTCGCTTCTACCCCGCTTGCACGGCTGCAAGGGCGCAGGGGAGCAAAAGGGGTGGGTGGGCGCGGGGCCGGGGTGGAGAGCTACGAGGAGGGGTAGCGGGCGCTCCCTGGTGGGCGAGGCCAGTGCTGCAGCATGCAGCGGAGGCGGTCAACACCGCGAGAGTTCCGCGCGCGATTTCGACGACACCCTGGGAGGCTGTCGCCCGGGGACCGGGGAGGGGGGGGGCTAGAAGAGGAGGGTGGCCGTCGCCTCCCTGAGGGAGTTCTTGCACGAATTCCGAGCCGCGCCAGGAAATGGGGGGAATGTCTTTGCATTTGTCTATATGAGGTTGAGCAGCCGCCTTGTGGGAGGGAAGAGAAGGAATAGGGATTGAATGGCAGAGGGAGGAAGGAAGGAAGGAAGGAAGGAAGGAAGGAAGGAAGGAAGGAAAGAAGGAAAAATGGAATGGTAAGAAGGAAGGAGAGGTAGGAAGGGATAAGGGAAAAATGGAAGGAAGAGGGAGGGAGGAAGGATAGATAAAAGGGAGGAAGGATAAATGGAAGGGAGGGAGGGAGGAGAGGCAGAAGGAAGAAAATAAAGGAAAAATGGAAGGAAGAGAAAGGAGGGAGGAAGAAAGGAGAGGTAAAAGGGAGGAATAAAAAATAGATGGGAGGAAGAGGGAGGGAGCAAGCAAGGAAGGAAGTAATAAAGGAAATATGGAAGGAAGAGAGGGAGGTGGAAGGAAGGAAAATGGGAGGAAGGAAGAGGGAGGGAGGGAGGGAGGAGAGGCAAAAGAAAAGAAGAAAGGAAGGAAGGAAAATGGGAGGAAGGAAAAGGGAAGGAGAAAGGAAGAAGAGGTAAAAGAAAGAAAAAGAAAGAAATATGGAAGGGAGGAAGCGGGAGGGAGAAAGAAAGAAAGAAAGAAAGAAAGAAAGAAAGAAAGAAAGAAAGAAAGAAAGAAAGAATGGAATGAAAAGCAAATTCACAGGTACAGTATATGTGGTACTTCACTCGATAGTAGTAACTGTGAGAGGGATCTTGGAGTCCTAGTGGGCTCCAACCATTTAAATAGGAGCCAGCCGTGTGCTGCTGCAGCTGCCAAAAAAGCCAACACAGTTCTAGGCTGCATGAGAGGAGGGATAGAATCAAAATCACCTGAAGCGTTAATACCTCTTTATAATGCCTTGATAAGACCACACCTGGAGTACTGCATCCAGTTTTGGTTACCACTATGTAAAAACAACAACTGGAGACGCTAGAAAGAGTGCGGAGAAGAACAACAAAGAGGATTAGGGGATTGGAAATTAAAACATAGGAAGAACAGTTGTTGGAACTGGGTATGTCCAGTTTGATGAAAAGGACTCAACACGATAGCAGTGTCCCAGTATCTCAGGGGCAGCCAAAAAGAAGAGGGAGTCAAACTATTCTCCAAAGCATCTGAAGGTAGGACAAGAAGCAATGGAGGGAAACTAATCAAGGAGAAAAACAACCTAGAAATAAGGGGGAATTTCCTGACAGTTAAGGACAATTTATCAGTGGAACAACTTGCCTCCAGAAGTTGTAAGTGCTGCAACACTGGAAGTTTTTAAGAAGAGATTGGATAACGATTTGTCTGAAATGGTGTAGGGGGTTGGACTAGAAGATCTCCAAGGTCCCTTCCAATTCTGTTATTCTATTTTTTCTATTCTATTCTAAAAGAAAAATGGAAGGAAAGAAGAGTGGGGGAGGGAGGAAGGAGAGGTAGAAAGGCCAAAAGAAATAAAGGAAAAATGGAAGGGAGGAAAAGGGAGGGAGGAAGGAAAGGTAGAAGGAAGAATAAATAAAAGAAAAATGGAAGGTATGAAAAGAAAGGAGAAAGGAAATGAGAGGGAGGAGGAGATAAAGAAGTCATGTAGAAAGAAGGAAGAAAAGTGATAAAAACAGAAGGAAGGATGGAAAAGAGGCAGAAAGAAGGAAGCAAGAAAAGAATGGAAAGAAAAAAGGATGAAGAAAGGAAAAGGACGGAAGGAAGAAAAGAAATAAACAGACAAAAGAAAAAATGGAGGGAGCAAGGAAGGAGAGGTAGAAAGAAGAAAAAAATAAATAAAAGAAAAATGGAGGGAAGGAAGAAAAAGGGAGGAAGGAAGGAAAAGAGATAGCAAGAAGGAACCGTGTTACTAATTTAACTGCAGCGATTCACCGAACAATGGTGGCCAGAAACCTGGTAAAATGAGTCCATGTCTTCCTTAGCAACAGACATTTTGGGCTCAATTGTGGTTGTAAGCTGAGGACTAAAAATAAGTGTCTCTTTTCAGAAGCCCAGAATTCACTTACAGATGGAAAGGAAGTAGTTGTGCAAGAAAAGAGGCAACCAAGCCCCAACAACAGGAAGTCAAGCGCAAAACACACACATCTCACAAATGGAGAAAAAAAAGCTGTAGCAATCCAGACTCTTTCTCTTACCGATTCTACTGCTATTCGTCCCCCCACCGCATTTGAAGCACACCCTTGTATTCCTTCCTGGCACATTTCTGGCTTTTGAGGTTTCAAGAAAAGTCGCCGTTCCCTGAACATGCGCAGAGTTTTGTTTTTTTTAATTAATTCACAATGGAGTTTCTATTCACGGCTTGTAAATCCAAGATTTAAGTCTTGGATTAAGCCTCTCTTCAATCTTAGGGCCCTTCAATGAAACCGTTTAAATAAAGAAGAAGAAAAAATCCTTATTTTATAATCTTCCTCCAAAATTGGCAAACTCGGTTTCAGTTTTATGAGGTAATTTTTTTTTAAATGTGGTTAAAAACGGGTTGGATGGTGGTTTTAGTTCCCCTCGAAACTCTCCAGGAAGGTGAGGTGAAAAGGGGGAGATAGAGCCAGCCCCTCCTTTTCCAAAAGTGCCATAAAGTTGTAGAATCCTGAAAGGGATCCCGCGAGGTCATCCAATCCACCCCATCCCTCTCTGCACACCGATCCAGATTAAAACCTCTCCGGTTGATGGACGATATTAGTCTCCAGGTGTCCAGTAAACATTGGTCATGCTGTCCAGTGTATTTCAGCTAGTCCTCAACTTACGACCAGAATGATTTATCTTGCTAAATTAGAACTTCATGAGTTTGGCCCCGTTTTATGACTTTCCTTGCCCACTTTGTTAAGTGAATCACTGCAGTCGTTAAAATTAGTCACATGGTCGTTAAGTGAGTCTGGTCCCCCCCCCTTTGGAACTTTGCTTGTCCGAAGGCCGCAAAAGGGGAGGGAATCGCGCGACCCCGGGACACTGCGACTGTCATAAATGCGAGTCAGTTGCTAAGAGTACGAATGTAAGTCACGAGATTGCGGTGGAGCTGCGATGGTCATAAGACTTCAGTCACTAAGTGAAATGTTATAAGTTGTGGACTAAGTGTATCGTTAAGGAAGTATTTTTAACCTCCCGACTTTCTAACGGGCTTGGCACCTTTTTTAAAAAGCGGGGGAGGGGAATTGATCTTCAATTTATAAAGTTTGCTGGTAACCATGAAATTGTTCGTAGCAATTTTGTTTTTGCTTTTTTTTTTTCAATTTTTTTTATTTCAATCTGCATATGCACAATACATCAACAGTGTGGCATCAATATCATACATTTTAGTATAGGCAAAATTAATAATACCAATCATATCTCTCAAAGCATATATTCACATTAATTCATAATCCTTCAATGCTTATTTTCAACCTTTCAAAACTCTCTCCAAATGCCTACCATCATATCAGTTAAACATACCTAGTAATTCCATCATTCAATTTTCTCCCTGTTTTCATTTTATTTTATTTTAAATAAACTCATTTGGCAAGCAGTATGGTTCCAGGTTTCACATCTCAATACAAACATGACCATAGTTACCTGTTCATTTTATTTGTTTAGTTTCGTATTGCATCATCATTATTGTTAAATGTTAAGCTTATCCAATTCTGTTCATAGCAATTTTGGGAAGCGAAAACGAGGAAGTGGATTGGGCCCCGTTTTTCAAAGCTGCTTCTCTTTTTTTTTTCTGGTTTTCTATTGGCTCTTTTTCAGTTTTGCAAAATCGCCCCAAAGTCTGTTCTATGTCTGGCAGACAGGAAAAGGAAAGAAAAAACGGATTTAAAAAAAGCAACGACCAGCAATATTGGGCTAACAACCATTCTACCAATCTCCTAGGATTTTTTTTTTCTTTACAGCTAGTCCTCGACTTACAACACTTCGCTCAGTGACCATTTGAAGTTACAATGGCCCTGTAAAAAGTGACTTACAGCGATTCTTCACACTTTAAAGACCCTCGCAGCATCCTCATGGACACGGGATCAAAATTCGGACGCTTGGCAGCTTGACTCGTATTTATGACGGTCGCAACGTCCCGGGGGTGGTGGTGGTGGAAGGGGCTCACATGATCGATCCCCTTTTGCAACTTTCGTCCAAGCCCAGTGCATGGAGAAGCCAGATTCATGGAACAAACCATGTGACTGACTTAACGACCTGCAGCAATTCCCTGAACAACAGTGGTAAGAAAAGTTGTAAAATGGAGCAAAACTCCCTTCACAACGTTCTCCTTTAAGCCAGATGTATTTGGGGCTTGTCCATTGTGGTTTGTAAGTCGAGGACTTCCTGGGATACCTTGGATGGCAATTTAAGTGAAACTCGCCTCAAAACAACTTGTCTCGCTTAGCAACAGGAATTTTTTCCTCTCAATTGTGCTAGTAAGTCAAGGACAACCTGTATTAACCCACCCAAAACTACTCAAAAGTCAGCCAATGACAATTGTCAAATGGGTTTTTATCTTCTAATTACAAATTTGTTTGATCCTCTCATTAAGAATTTTCTAACGATCCTTTGATAAGAAGGACGGGATCCATTTCACCTTTCCTAAAGTTTGAAAAAGCTGGCTAGGGAATTCTGGGAGTTGAAGTCCACCCATTTTAAAATGGCTGATTTGGAGTAACCCTGGTTTGGCTGCAAAGCTGTCGGTTGAGCCACAAGATCCTGGTTGAACTGTCAATGTTGGTTTGGTTACTTGTGATGTGGCTTTGTGTTTCCTTTTTCACAAGCCAGCCTCTTCCGTTGGGCTGGTGGCTCCTTCCGAGCCATGAGAAAGGATGATATTCACCTGCA